TTTGTGTATTTACCTGATATTTAGCATTTTTCATTTTTTTTCGTAGGATTTTTTATTGGGTTGATTAAATGATAATCATTGATCATCAAAGACAATAGCGAAATAATTTTAGGATAATTGGATACCTGATAATTAATTATATAATGCATCATAAACTTTGATTGATTTGCTAATGCGAATCAATAAAGTTTTGTGCCTTGCTTAATAAAACAAGGCCAAGTACTATTTTACTTAAGTTCCCAAATATCAATTGATGGTAATTATATTATCAAGTTATTATAAAGCTGTGTTAGTCGTAACATATGGGCCAATTTTTATGATAAACATGATATAAAAAATGTTAATAAAAATGTTGAAACGTGATATTCACATGGTTACACTAATTAGATAATCATAATAATGTCGACCAAACCTTTTCCTTGCTTATTATATCCTAAAACCTATTTAACAAGAAAGTCTTTGTTAGCTCATGAAACGAAAAAACATCCACATAACTGTGTTGTGCCTCATAGTCTTGGCTTTGAACCTCCTTCAAGTTGGTGCTTGTGCCAGTTTCGGTCAGTTTTTCTTGCGAATATAAAGTCCCGTCTTCATACTTACTGAACATTCCAAGATCTCAAGCAATTCACTTTACATTGCCCCGAAAACCTTTTTATTATGTTTTTTACCAAGAGCCAGATTTCGAATATCAACCAGCTTAGCGGAAATATAAGTGTATATATAAGAGAAGAGATGGGTATCAAAGAATTGGCTATATTTTTGCGCATCCTGATTGGGGCAAAAAAAAAACCAAAATGGGAAGTGAGGTCAAGGTAATGACCAAGAAAAAAGATCAAGAAACACAACAAATAGTCGAAGTTGAGTTTAAATTTTTTTGGGAAGAACGAACAGGCAAAGAGGAATGTAATGAAAAAATTTACACTTGGACTTACGGACTTGTGAAATTTATGTTTGAAATATGTAAATGAAACGTAGTCGTTATTTAAATTTTTATTTCTAAAAATTTGTATGTTTTTTAGAGTAAGTTAGAGGCATTTCATTAACATAATAATAAAGTTGTCTGTTTTCATATGAACATATTTCATATGCTACGGGTTTTGAAGAATTGCCACCTCCCATTGTAGTGCCTCCATAAAATAGTTGAACATGATTATGGTTTTTTTTTCAACACTCGAGCATGAAAACCATCGTAAATACAAATTTTTTGGTTTGAGAAATTTCATAAATTTTGGTATATGACAAGCAAGTACATGCATATATGGAGTAACATCATCACGTTGATATAGTCCTTCCTGTAAGATAGTTCCTTCTTTTGTTTCAATCGTCGGTTTGCAGAAATCTTTAATCCATTTTCGTGCCGAATTTTCAAAATTAATTATATTGTCATCTGCTAAATTAATTTTACGTATTGTTTTATATAAAAAGTAAAAATTATCCCAAAGTTTTTGGATTTTATCTCCTCATTGATCTGTATTAAAAATCAAACCAAAAAAAATGCAGTTTAATTAGTTGGCTTAAAAATTTTTTAAAGATCAATAAAAAATTGGTTATAGCCAATTTATCAATTAATTGATTAATCAATTAATCGATCAATTGGCTATAGTCGATTAGCCGATATGCATATTAAAATAACTTAGCTACTAATTACAACATTAATAAAGCAACTAATCGATTGTAACTTGATTAACCAATTTGAAATACTACTTGGTATAAACGATTTAATTGGAAAATGTTCTAAAATAACTAGTTTATCCGGCCCCATTAATGATATTCAACGCCATTTTCCTTTAGGAATTTCAGGTTCTTTAAATTTAAATACGTTAATACCGAGTGAATAAATGACTAGTTCAATTCGTTCACGAATTGTTATGTCTATATTAACTTTTTTTTATTAAAAGTAGGTTTAATTGATAATTCTAAAAAAAGACACTCGAATAAAACATCAGTAATTCGAAGCATTGTATGTAATTCGTCTGGAATACAATGTTGGTTTTCTAAAAAATGGCAGAAGATTTAAATTTTTACGACCCCGAGTATTAAACGAGTTTTCAAAATCTAGATCTACATTCCAACGATCTGTATTTTTGCAATCACAATAAAGACAAAAATAATTTACTGTTGGCCCTTTAGTACCGAGAACTAATGACATAAATTTCCAATTAGAACCAAACCAAAATTCAATTTGCTAGTGGTTGTTATTTGAATCAATAATGCCTTCTGAATTTAAAGTTGTTAATTCATCAATTAAAAAACTAAATGCCTATTGAAGGGATTCATATTGTTCTGCACCCATATAAAGAAAAATACAATGTTGATTTGATGGGCTTAAAACTGCTTTGTGTTCATTTAATATGCAAGCAGTAAATATTACATAATTATGATGTTTACCAACTTGTCTCTCATCACCACTTAATTTAATATGAATAACATCTCCTATTTGTAATACGGGTAAATCACTATCTCTTAAATTGTAATACAGGCAAATTTGCCTGCGAAGATTTTTACTAATTTTTTTAATATTTAAATTTTTTAATAAAAT